GCTATATCAATTGACTATTTAATTGATTATCTAATTGGCTCAAATTTCTTTAACTTTAAATTTTTAGCACCATTTCTAATTTATTTGATGCATATTCTCTCTTATTTTATTTACCTAAATACAAAGAAATGTCAATGTTAGTTAAAGTCAGCTTAGATAAAACTAAAAAAAAAAAAAAAATAAAATAAAAGAGTGCGAACTTATCTTAAAAGTTTCCAGATCAACCTATCAACCTGATTGTTCGTTATGCAAATTGAAAAGTATGTACTGTACGCACGTACAGTACATATACAAAAGCCGTAGTGACAAAGTATTTTCCTTTTCCTTGTTTGTTTGTAGTGCAATGAATATAAAAAGTCATTTTTTTTCCACACTATATATATAAATTCAAGATCTTCTTAACTTAAATTTTATTTCAACTAAAAATTTCTAATACCGTACAGTGGTTTGTCTTTACTGTGAATGCTGTAAATACTGTGAACACTATGAATACTGTGAATGTTATAAATTATAAAGCACTAGATAAAAAGATTCAAGAAAAAAAAAATAAAATAAAACAAATAAAAAAAAAAAATAATAAAAAAAAAATAATAATAAAAAAAAAGAAACTTCTGATTTATTGTACTCGATCATTCACTTATCATAACCGATCTTTCGTTATATCTGATGAATATACATACTTACGCGTATGTATTTTTATATTCATTTTTTGTTCACGATATATATAAAACATTATACTCACATACCTTATTGTGTTGTGGTTGTTTTTTTTTTCTTAGCACTGTAACTAAAAAAAAAAAAAAAAATATCGTTAGTAAAAGTTCAACAAGAAACACTTCAGCAAAATTCACAAAATCCTTTAACAAACCAAGAAACTTCCCATCAAGCCTCTATTCGTGCAGCACTTGAATTTCTTAAAACTCAAAAACTTAGCTCAGCACCACCTTTAAACATCCATAGAGTTGCTCTTGAGTTTGGTATTGCTGACCGAACCTTACATGATGCTATAGAAAAAGGTGTTCCAAATCGTCGTGGTCCTCCTACTATACTTACAGCCTATGAAGAGAATGAAATAGCCGGTTATTGTTTAAACATGCAGCAACTTGGGTTTGAACTTACCAAAGAGGCCATTAACACCATGGTTATGCAGATTCTTAGTACCTGGAACCAAAAACACCCATTTAATAGTGCCCCCGGTGATAAGTGGTGGAAGAGATTTATGAAAGATCATCCAGAACTTTCATTTCGTACATCTCAAGAACTTTCTCAAGCACGTGCAAGTAAAGCCAACCCGGTTGTTCTTATGGACCATTTTAAAAAACTTAAAAACCTTTTTGATGATTATTCTTTAACTCCAGATCAAATTTGGAATATGGATGAATCAGGATTTAATATTTCTGCCTGATTACAAAAAGTTTTAGCCAAAAAGAATGCCCGACAAGTTCATAAAACTGCAGCTAGAAATTCAAAAAAACACATTTCTGTATACCCTACAATTTCAGCTGCAGGAACCTATATTCCACTATTGCTTATTTACAAGAGAGTTAATGTTCTTGATGGATTGTTATCTGGCTTATCTGTTCTACCTGGCACTGTTGCAGCTTTCACTGATACTGGTTATATGCATGAAACCATTTTTAGAATGTACATTAAACATTTTAATAAATCAATTCCACCTTTTAAACCAGTTTTACTTATACTTGATGGACATGCTAGTCATATTGATTTGATTAGTATTAATTATTATCGTGATAATGAAATTTTATTATATATTCTTCCATCAAATACAACACATATTCTTCAACCTTCTGAGATACCTTTTAAAAAACTCAAACTTGAATATGATAAAGCTTCTGACAATTATAGATTTACTAATAAC